CCGAGAGCAACATCACTTTAACTATTTTGTTTGAGGTTAATAGTAAATCCCGTGGTTTAGGGTGCGAGGGCTAGTGCAGAGTTGTTCCTGCAATGTTTCCGCCTGTGAAAATTGATCTAATTGGTCTCAGTGTAAAATCTTCATCTTGGTAACTTAAATCTCCAGCAAGACACAATCAGTACATTTCGTATAGATTTTTATATTTTAACCATTTTTGGCCCAAAGTTGGCTCAAAGCAACATCATCTTTTGCAATTTTTTAAATGATTGCTAGAAATCTCGTGAGTTTACGGCAAGCGCAGTGTTGTCCCTACAAGTTTCTCTGCCCGTGTATTGGACAACACTGAATTATTTTGCGCCAATACTAAAGTTGGCGGGTACAAGTAACGTATTCTTCATTTTTGATGCTGTCCATCCTGATTTTGTGGAACCCTTCATAATAAGATGATGGGTAGGATATAAACTATATTTCCACAATAAGCATTTATTAAGTCCGACGCGTTTCGATCTAATATAGACCATCTTCAGTGACTTTTTTATATGGTTTGTCGGTTTTTTTACATTCTTATAAGTTCAGGAGTGGATGTCTGGACGACTATGGACTTGGCGAGTAGTCTGTCAAGAATGGGCTATTTGGAATGGAACCTTTCTTCTTAGCAAATACCAATACGGAAATTAAGAGTAGAAGGGAGAGTGGAAAAAAAGTTAACAAAAATAATAAATAAATAAAAAAGTCGCTAAAGATGGTCTATGTTAGACCGAAACGCGTCTGAATCCCTAAATGCTTACTGCGGAAAAGACAATTTATTTCCTACCTATCATCATATTTCCTTCTTCATTCTTCAAACGTGTCCTCAGCGCTCGAGCCGAAGGGACAGTATTGTGGCTGAGAGAAAAAAATATATATGGGCACATCTAATTTGTAAAAATGAACATATGACCCTTAATTCTTTTCCTCGTTATAAAATTCTTATAAAAAAAAATATTTGGAGGAAAGACAGTTGGAAATCTTGTTGAATTAAGATCCCCTTGTTGGTGAGGTTGAGAGTATGAGAACAGATTTTCTTCGTGATGCAGCTAATTTGACAAACGAGCTTCTATTATTTGGCTCAAAAATGTATTCGCACACTAAATTAAATCCCAAAATTAAAACAGAACATTCAAAATTAGAGAAATAAATGGTCTCGAGTGTTTAATTCTCAGATTAAAAGGAACTGTTAATATTTTGGCAAGGTGAAGGCAATAAAGAGTTTCTCGGCCAGTGCTCCTAGTTATAAGAGAGGGCCGCTTGAGCGGTTCTTTTTTTAATTTCTTCCACCTTAATGCGAAAAATTTCCAAAACTATTTCCTGTCCCATCCCTCAGTATCTTTGTTAATAAACGGCTCTCAAGAAGACGTGAAAGATGGCATGGTAATGCCCCGCAGTAGTCAGGAATAATTTTTACACGCGAGTGGTGTTTTGTTTGTATAATTTAATGTCTATATAAAACAAACTACAGACGGAAAACCTCCCAGCAAAACGTATGAAAAATTCAAGACTTTTTTCCTCAGCTTGAAAGAAAAAAGCCAACCCGTTTCAAACATTTCTGGTCACCGGGTTGAATTTCTATATTTTCCCATTAATTTTTCAGTTAAATTAAGGCTGTTGCCGACCCTATTATAGAAATGAGCTAAGGTTGTTCCAGTTCATTAGTGGTATGATAAAAATAACATTGCCAAGTGTAGGACCGCTCCTATAATTAAAGACCCCGTCCGAAAAGGTTTTCGTTATATTATTCATGTGTCTGTGTGTCTCGACATTGAAGAGTTCGCCGCCTTTTCCATTTAATAATCAACAATTTAATACGTTGGTAATAATTCGCAGATTTGGTGCAAAATTTTTTTACCTATTTATTGTTTTAAGAATTTTTTCTCTAAAGTTAGCCCTAAGTATTTAACGCTGTCTGGCTCAATTTTGCCTCAGGGCGATACAACATTAGCAATTTTCTTCTTCTTTCTTTAATTTTCTCTCGGCTACAAACTGACACTATGGCCAGATTAGCAACGGGAGGCCACATGTTTGAAGAATGACGAATAGATTGCCATGTATTTGTGTGTATGTATCGCTAACTTCAGTATTGGCGCCAAATAATTCAGTGTTGCCAGTACACGGGCAGAAAAACTGTAGAGACAACACTGCGCCCGCCATAAACTCACTGAATTTCTTGCTAACATTCAATTTATTGCTAAAGTTGGTGTTACTCTGAGCCAACATTGGGCAGAAAGGGTTGAAATATAAAAATCTACACGAAATGTCAGGATGGTGAAGAGCCATCTTGGAGATTTAAGATACCAAGATGGAGTATTTTATAGAGTATTTTACATTGACGCCAAACTACAGGCGCAACAACGGGCATAAATACTGTTGGACAACACTGCGTTCGTCGTACACGCGGGTTTTACCGCTAACCTTAAACAAAAGTGCTGAAATGGGTGTTTCTCCGAGCCAAAATTGGGCCACAAAGGATTAAATTATAAACAGGATTTTAAAAACTTTATCTGCTCGAAAAATATAATAATCGGTATGAGATTCAATGGCGGTGAAGGGCCACGTTTGAGATTTTCGATTTACACAGGAAGAAATCCTGCACAACTCCCCTCCAAACGGGGTTTCCCGCTAACCTTTGGCAATATTGAGAAATTTGGTGTGGCTCTGATGCGATATTGGACAAGAAAAGGTTAAAATAAGCAATACGAAATCCAATTCTCATGAAGAGCCTTGTTAGCGATTAAAGAAATCCACATGGAGATTCTAAATAAGCGCCAAATAACTCAGTGTTGCCACGGGAAACACTGCACGGGCACCATTACGTTTGCTCTAAAATCATCACACTAATCCTAAACAAAATTGGAAAAGTTGGTGTTGTTCTTAGACAATTTTGGAAGACAGGGTTAACAAGATACAATAGTAATAAAAGCAAAGGAGATTTTAAATTGGTGACAAACAAATCATTGTTGCACATACATGGGCAGAAACACCGTAAAAACAACACTGCGTCTCCACCCCCAAACTCACTGCATTTAACTATGTAATTGTTAAAGTTATTATTATTATCGGCCATCATTTCGCAAAATACGGTTAATTTATAAACTGGAATTGAAACATTTTATCTCCTAGACAAATATAACAATTGCCACGAAGTGCAGTCTTGTGGTGTTGAAGATTCATGCTGGATAGAAAAGATTCCAAGGTGAAGATTTTAGATTCAATGTTGCCAATACACAGACAGACACACTGCAGGGAGAACACTGTGCCTGATCTAAACTCTCGTTTTTTTAATCGCAAACCTCCAATAGTTCTAAAATTTCTATTTTTCTGAGGAAACTTTGGGCAAGAAAGGTTGAAGGCTCAATGTTGTTTTTACAGTGTTTCAGCCCGTGTATTGGCAACACTGAGTTTTGGCACTATTCGAAAAATTTTAATTTAGAATTTTCAATTGCTAACTTGCCTCTTCTTAAGCAAAACCACGGGGAGTCGGTGGCCGCAACTGTTTAGGCGTTGACACGACGTTTGCACTGTAAGGTAAAAGTCCCGGGTTCGAATCCAGCGGCCCTGCATTCAAACCCGACATAGTAACAAATGGTTTTATATCAAAATCACCGGCACTCCGAGGGTACATAAAACAAATCAATACTAAATACACATTGAAAAAGTAATAAACAATAAATTCACAATTTGTTCGTTACAGACCATTTTGCTCGGCCAATCCTGGCTAGGTTGGATGTCCATTTTCGACATTTCGCCTTCATCAGTTTTTGGTCTCATGGATCTTAAAGAGAAAGAACTAGAGGAAATCCCGACAATTTAGGGAGGGCGCAATGCTGCACGTGCAGTTTTTCTGCCATTATATTGACAACACTGATTCGTTTGGCGACACTGTAAACCCTCCATATTGGAATCTTCAATCGCCAAATTGGGAGCCCTCGCCGGGTCACATGACTTTCGGCATTTCGCCTTCACCAGTGCTTGGTCACAACACAGACAATGTGTTAGACAATTGTCTTAAAGAGATGGAACTAGATTTTACCTTTCTGCACCACGGCCAGTAAGTTCGTTAGGTTAGAAAATTCCGTGAATTGAGGGGGGGTGCAGTGCAATTATTCTTCTCGTCTATTAACAAAACTGATTTTTTTCGCGCCAATTTAAAATTTTTATCTTAAAATCTTTAACCTGGTAGGTTTCTTTTGTAGATAAATGTTTTCTTATTTAAATGTTTTGTTTAACTCCTTTGAATATCCTTTCTTTTTATTTGGCCCAAGGTGTTTTCTTGAAGCTGATATATCTCTCCACCCATATATATNGTTTTTACTCTGCAAAACGATTAATTTTACACATGGTAACATTATTTTTCCCTGGAAAATCTACCGTAGATTATTTTTATGTAGTTGAAAGATTTAGAACATTTTCTTCTGTAAACGTTTTGAAACACTTTTGAAGAGTTCCAGAGTTATTGAAGTTTTTTACGTTGGATGAAACGGTCGAAATGTTGGTCATATGAGGTCAGGGGAGAAAAAGGAGTAAAATGGCAGAGCTTCGTGCCCCAGCAGGCATAATTTTGCCACAGCCATTGGACACGTGCGGTCGAATCTTGTCGCATAATCTCCCCTTTACGATTCCCACCGCGTCTTTCAATTTAAAAACGGAGATTTTTTTCCAATTGTGTTCAGTCCACGGGCGTCAAAACGAGAGACACCACGGTCGGTTTGTAGTCGTCAAAAAAGAGCGTAGGACTCACATCATAACGACTCTTATTTGGCAATCGTTCAAATCATTTGACTTATTTTTGAATCCTAATGTACACGGTCAAAGTTTTCCCGGGCGAGTGGATTCAGTCCTAACCGGGCCCATTCACCATTTCCATCCACTCCAGTGAGATTGTAAACTCCTAGGTGTTCCTCTTGTAAAAATTGGGAACCTAAATTTTGCTCCTGTACCTGTTACCGGCCAACTAAACTCTTATAAAATTAATGGTTCGAATGTATTTTTCTGTTTCAGACAATAGCGTATCCTCTGGACGGGAGGAAGCGACTGGCCCTTCCAACTGCCCCGGTAATCTTAATGTGTTTCTTTTTAATCAGCCTCAAGCCAACTTCTAATGCACTCAAATAGAAATGATTTGTTATGATAACACGACTTTTCCCTATCGTCGTTTCTTTCTCTCCCCTCGATAACCCTTCTCAGATAAACTTAAGGTTATTATTAAGATTTATTGGAAATAATTAATGCGCTCTTTAGCATGTTTCTTCTAATTATTAGTAGCTGCTTTGTTTATTACAACGATATCCAGTCCTTGTGAACAACAGACACGGTTTTTCTTTTGATAGATTATTTAAAAGTCTAGATTTTCCTTAATAAGAAATGAAAAACTTCTACTTTTAGAATTAAACGCATTAAAAAATAAACAAATATAATTGTCATGCTTTAATATTAAACAATTTTAAAAATTCCTGGATGGAGATTTTCCATATTACCCTTTAACAAATCAGTGCTACCAATACACGGACAGAAATACTGCAAGAGTAACACTGTGTTCGCTTTAAAATCATCTCGCTAACCTCAAATAAAATTGGTAAAGTTGCTTTTCTCTGAGAAAGCTTCGGCAGAAAGGGTTAAAGTATAACTATCAATGCGAAATTCATTGGTGGTGAAGAACTTGGTGGTAATTGAAGAATTGAAGATGGAGATTGTAAATTGGCGTTAAACAAATCAGTGTTACCAATACACGCAAAGAAATACTGCAAGGGCAATACTGTATTCGCTGTAAAATGATTTCACTAACCTTAAACAAAATTGGGTTATTATCGATTTTGGTCTGCCTATCCTCCTCGGTGGGTTCGTTGGTCAGACGTGTTTCATCATCACCAGTGTTTGCACTGGGTTTTAACCTTGCCCAACGTTGCACCAATTTTGTTAAAGGTTAGCGAGAAATCCCTTGAGTTTGGAAGGGAGCAGTGTTTCTCCCGCGTATTGGCTTTTCAATCTCCAACATGGCCCTTCACCACTATTACATCCCATATTGATTGTTATATTTTAACCCTTTTTGCCCAAAGTTGTCTCAGTGTTGGGTTTAAGAAAGGCATGTTGAAAATTGAACACTCAAAAACGGAGATTTTAGATTGGCGCCGAACAAATCAGTGTTGCCAATACAGAAACACTACATCCCTCCAAAATTAACGTTATTTACCACTAACCTTGAATAAAATAAGGTAAAATTGGTCTTGCTCTGAACCTACATTTGGCCAGAAAGGGTTAACTTATAAACTGAGTTTGGTAAATTTTCTCCTACAATTTCAAACACATACCTTCACAAAATTCATTATAAAAAAATATCACGTGGATAATATTAATTTTTGCACGGCCCCTGAACACGATCAGAAAATTAGCCGATAACTATACTGGGTAGGGACCATTTATGAAAATTAATTCTTTAAAAAAATTGCAAAATCTGTATCTGACTAATAAGAAATTATGAAAATTTTATTGAAGCATTAGCCTAGATTTTGCAGCTTGCCCAATAATATAGTAGGAAAGCGTCTACCGTATTATTATAACCTTTCAAAGAAAACAACAGCAGGTGTCACAATAAGAATATTTTAATTTATAAACGACTGTATCTATTTCTAGCCCGGTTGTTCTCTTATGCCCCATATTGAAGAGCGATGACAAAGCGAAAAAGTTGGCTCGGGTAAGAAAGAGGCCTGGCACTTGTAAATGCTAAATAAGTTGGAAAAATGGTCGAATAAGAAAAGTAAAAAAAGGAAAAGGTTTTCTTCTTCATTTCCAACACAGCAGACGAATTTTGGCTTAAACTCTTCCAGCTCTTATAAATTATTGTTGAATCAAAACTAAAGGGAAAAGTTGTCTCTAAAGATCTGAACATGAATGTGTAGTTGGGCCGCCCATGGGAGACGAGTAATCTCTAACAAGGGGAGGATGGGGGTTCACAGATTTCAATGAAACATTTTTAGTGATACCACGTTTATATTGTGACATCTACGTCGTGATGAAACTGCAATTTGTTCCCTTCGGAATGGTTTGGTCCGTCAGACGCGTTCCAATTTTAGTGTTAATTATGTTGGGTCGTAATGAAACAGAAAAAAGCATGACCCTAACTATCCCTAACCAGTCTATATAAACCTTCTGGCTCAAACCGGCTCAGAAAAAACTCCAAATTCAGCAAGTTTTGTAGGTTATGAAATCCCACGATTTTAAGGTGGGACCAGTGTTGCCCCTGCAGTTTTTCTGCCCGTGTATTGACAACACTGATTTGTTTGGCGCAAATCTAAAATCTCCATCTTGGAATCTTCAATCTCCATCATTGGGGTCAAGCAATATTTATTTTTTGATTTTCCCAAAAATTTCTATTCTGGGTTATTTTGGGGATACAAAGAACGAATATCATTTTTTTCTTGCTAAAAAAATAAAATTAAATTGAAAAAAAAAATTAACTTAACCAAATACAGATTTACTGGCCGAGTAACTTAGCTATGGTTAAAATGTATTTTTTTTAAGCAAGAAACAAAGTCGATACTACTTCGTCAACAACACGGCATGAACCCATCTGCATAAATATATTCGAGCCGGAGATTTAAAAAAATAATAAAACGTTTGAAAAGGTCTTGTTGATTTCATCCTTATTTTTATCATATATAATGATACAAAATCTAAAGCTTGTTAAAGTATAAACATTCAGCTTTCCAAAGGTTGTAATAAAATCGAATTTGTATAAAATCAAAACCAGAGTAGTTATGAATTTTTTAATTGAAAAGACAAGAAATCGTAAAGAAAAAATTATCCCCGGCGGATGCAGCCCAAAAATTGTTTGTAAGCTTTTATAACCACAGTTGAGCCAAGTCCTGAGTCACAAATTTAAGTATAATGTTCACCCATAAGTTTTTCATTTAAAAATTATGTAAATATGGCATTTATTTATTTATTGCAGCTTTTAGTTCAGGATTACTCAGAAGTTTTTATGCTATGAGAAAGATTTTCTTGTAAATATATCGCAAACCAATGTACTCATATATGGCATTAAATATTTATTTATCAATCTACTCGCTTCAAAATAACGGCTAATTCAAAGAAAAAAGTTTGCCTTATCTAATACAATCTTTGGTTCGAGCTCGCCATAAATCAGGGGCGAGGAAGCAAGCCATTTGACCCGTGCTATTCGGAGTGATTCGTTCACCGATGCCGCGCAGTCTGCCGAGTTTATCGTCCAAATCGACCTTTGATTACATAAAACCGGCGATGTGGGGAGAGAAATCAACTTTTACGCCGACGCTAATTAGACAAACATAACAATCGTTTGATTCATGGTCGGAGAAAGAAACAAATAACGTCAAAAAAAAAATGTAGCAGAACGTTTGCTTCATAGGACAGGAAGGAGTAAATGATACATTCAAAACAGGAATGGAAATCAAAGTGAAATTTTTAAATTATTTGAGAAGTATTTAAATTCGAAGCTGTCCACATCGCCTACACATTTAGATCTGCTCCTCCTTTTTTTTTATTCTCTCGAAGAAACATCTTTTTAATTGGCGCATCCATCTTTTTATCGGATTTTTTCGCAATTGAACGATAGGAAATGCCCTGAGATATGTCCAATTTCGACCTTGGGGCGGGTTAACTGAAAAATAAATACGAAATGACGCTCGGGAGGTCGCAGTCCGTGCATAATTTTTATAATTTGGACATAAAATATTTCACCAGATGATTACGATAAAAGTTTTATACGAATTTTAGTAGAACATTATCGAATTTATTAAAGGTTAGAGGGAAATCGCATTATTTTAGGACGGGTGCACTCCTGTGCCAGCAGTGTTTCTTCACGTGTATCGGCAACACTGTTTTTTTTTTTTTTTGTGGTGGCAATGAAAAATCTGTCTTATGTAATCTTCAATCATCAACATGGCTAGGGGTATCAGATATTGACGATTCCTAGTTGGAGATATTATATTCAATGTCGCCACTACACGGGCGGAAACACTGCTAGTGCAGGACTGTACCCACCCTAAAATCACGGGATTTCCCTCTAACCTTTAATAAAATAGCTAAAGTTGGTGTTCCTCTGAATCAAAATTTGGCTAGAAAGGGTTAATTTATAAACTGGATATAAATATATATATTTATATATATAAATATATATCAGGTAGACAAATACAATACATTTATCGATACGAGATACAATGGTAGCGAAGAGCATGTTGAAAATTGAAGATTCCAAAATTGAGAATAACAATTAGCGCCAAAAACATTCAGTGTTGCCAATACATGGGCTGTTGGGGACCACTATTTCCCTTTAACAAAATTGCTACAATTAGGGTTCCTTCGAATCAAAATTCGACCAGAAAGGATTAATTTATATACTGAATTTTTAAACCTTTAACAACCAGACACGTAAATTAATCGACAGGAAATTCAGAGATTGAAGGTACCGAAATTGACATTTTCAATTGATGCCGAACAAATCGGTGTTGCCAATGCTTGGGCAGAAACACTGTGAGATAACACTGCCCACTTAAATCCCAGTATTTCCCTCTAACCTTTAACAAAATTGGTGTTGTCTGAAATTTATAAACTAGATTTTAATATATATATATATATATATATATATATATATATATATATATATCTGGTATATAAATATATTAATTGATACGATCCAATGGTAGCGAAGAGCCTGTTTAAAATTGAAGATTACAAAATTGAGATTAGCAATTAGCGCCAAAAGATTCAGTGTTGCCAATACACGGCCAGTTGGGCAGGACTACCTCCGACCCAAAGAGTGGGTTTCCCCCAAAAACACTCACTTGGTTTCCCGCTAACCTTGACAAAATTGCTAAAAGTTGGTGTTGCTCCGAGAAGATTTTTGACAATAAACCTTTTTCTTTTTCTCCACGATCCAGAAGACCCAAACACTGGCGAAATGCCTAAAATCTGACAGGTCTTTTTCCTTGACATTCTAGTGGCTGCTTTGTGGTTTGGTTATTTTCTCCTGAACAAAATCTCCAATTTTTAACCTAAACAATTTGCGCGTCGTTTCTCAA